TGCCCATTGTCTGGAAGATTTATCTTGGTAGCAAATAATAACAGACTGCAAAGAAGTTAGTCTATAGTTTTCTGATGAATCTGTAGAACTTCATTGATTACGATATTGCCACTGCGCAAGGTTAAGTTAGTCTATAATTATTTTACAATTAATTAAGTTTGTCAGTTGAGATTAAAAAGTCAATGGCACGAGCGGGATTCGAACCCACGATCTTCGGCTTGATACGCCGCTGCTCTACCACTTGAGCTATCGTGACCACACCGGAGTCTGACACCAACTTCCCATCTCAACCACGCCTTTTGAATTTTACCTCCTTTTTGCTTTTTTTATCTCAACTGCAAACCTTAATTAATTGTAAGATATTAATTGGTCAAGCGGACCACGAAACTAGTGAATCTATAATTACTGTATAATACCCCGGGTTATTTACCCCGCCCCGAGGAATATCGAAGTACTCTGGGGGAGTGAATGTGACCAGACTTCTATGTTTGTGGCGATATATATGTTATGTATTGTATGTTGTGTATCTATTCTTAAATTGACAACCTGAGGTACTAACAAGAGGCTAGCATTTTAAAATAACGACGTAATATACAAGTAAAAGCAGAGAGTCAGTAACCAGATCGAGATGCTCAAATAGCTGCAGTTCAATACAAAATACGCGAGAAAGACAGGAAAGAGAAGGAATACACGCGGAGGGGCGGCGATAACCTCAGCTGTTTGTCGGCCCATAAACCTTCCACTTTATATATATAATATATATACATATATATATATATATATATTATATACTGCTTAATTATTATAAGGCATCACGAATGACGTATATGCTGATGTGGCTCGAAGCAGGCGCAGATCGCTGATCCAATATTTCAAAGACATAAACATTTTTAACTGTATATAACTTTGTACGTTTACGCATGTGATAGGTGTGTAACGAATGCATTTATTAGCGTGAATAGAAAGAATTATCCCAATTACAACGAGGAATATCGATTGCTTTGGGATAGTGTGTGAATGTAATTTATTAGCGTGAATAGACGCGATTATCCCAAATTACGCCGAGGAATGTCGAGTACACTGAGGTAATGTGAATAATGATCAGACTGTCATATTTTATCTTGTTTATTTGTTATTGCTGTTTTATCCACAATTGGCCATTGTGGGCTCGAGGTTCAGAGAAACTAGTAATAGGATAAATTTAAGAGAGAATCGGCTACCATCCTAATCGTTCTGATACCAGGGGAAACAGGAAAAGCAATTAGTAGAATGAAAATGCAAAGAAAGTCAAGTATAAAAATTCAAGAAAGAGAGGAATGACACTAACAAACTAATATACATATAATAATTATACAGGTTGTCCTTTTTAGATGGTACAGCTGAATGATGATGCTATAAAAAATTGTTTAACATGTTTTAGTCCAGTTTCAATTTTTTACCTTTTTTTGAAAAAAATATATACAGGGCACCTCAGACACAGTTCAACTTCAACATTTCAAGTACGACCATCCTGACACATCCTTTTAAAGGATGCTTTACGGTGAAAACAATGGTGCAGTCGAATTTTAAAATGGTCAAAAAATGGCGAAGTTTTGACAAAAAACCCCGGCAGCGTAATTTCGACCAGGAACTTAATATTTTGCTGTACGTTATAGGTTTTAGGGTTTTCAAAATATAAAATTAGATATGTAATCCGGACTTACAATTTTAAGCCGTATCGCTTTCATCTTGTCCACGGACTTCGGGACTTGATTATGACATGCGTCTAACGTTCATTGCGCAAATGTCGATTTGGTAGGCTGAAGAAAACGTTTTTCCATACCATCGTATGGACTGAAGAATCCAAGTTCACTTCTAATGGCATACTGAACCGTTGGAATTTTCGAACTCGGTAGAAGAAATTCCGAGAATTTCGTACTCTTGTCATCATCAAGTGGTTTACAGTATCAGCGTATGGTGTGGACTTGTGGGTACCTAAGGCCGTGTTCTACTTCAAAATCTCAAGTACACCCTATACACCCTGACATATCGTTTTAAAGGATGGTTTAGAATGAAAACAGTGGTGCAACCGGATGCTAACGTGGTCAAAAAATGGCAAAGTTATGGCGAAAAAAAGATGTACACACTGCTGAACTTATGGTGAAGGTTGGTCCAATCTATAAATTTATCCAGGAATGATGCATTTAGAAACGTATTTAGAAACGTACGTAGCTGTCGTGACCTCGATCCACTCGGACATCAACTTCCGAAAAATGGCAAAAAGGAGGGAAAACTCACAAGGTGGGGTTGAGATAGGAAGTTGATATCCGAGTGGATCGAGGTCACGATAGCTCAAGTGGTAGAGCAGCGGCGTATCTAGCCGAAGATCGTGGGTTCGAATCCCGCTCGTGCCATTAACTTTTTTTCATTTCAACTAAAAACCTTAATTAATTGTAATTTATTGAACGATTACAACAAATAAATTTTTAAGGTCTGGAGATTATAGCTGCTTAGGTCTAGGATGCTGGCGGCATTGTCAACAACGCGTTGCACCAACTGTGTTGTCTTGTAATTTGAGTGAAATCTAAACTGACATTATGGACTTGTCATATTAATTGTCGGAGAAGAAGTTTTTCTCTGGAATAAACCTAAAATTTTAACCAAACAAATAGCAAAAATCTTTCTTCTTCTTCAGACATCCACTTTCTTCTGATGATTTTTACCATTAGGCCGACGCTTTACGGTGACAAGATAAATAACTCTTAAAAGGTAGATAAAGATCGATATGAATATTAATTAAAATGGATCACTCTATAAGCTCGTCGCTAATAACCAGGAAAGTCCGAGAGGATTTGGGCCAATTTGCCAATTTTTCAATTAGTCTTTCATTTTGTTAAGTAAAAAAAAGACAATTGACCGACGATACAATCAAGAAAATCTAACGACCAGATCCAGAAAAAATATTAAATATTTAAATATAAAGAACCAAACCTAATAAAGGATAACACTTCTAAATTTTTCTGGCTTCGGAAAAATTCTTCCAATCCTAAATTCTTAAAATATAGTTTCTGCCTGCCACTGAGCTGTCCATCAGAGTGAACATTTCATAGATATTATGTATCTCTATCGACATTGATTCAGGAGGTTTTGCTCTGGTCTTTTTGGCGTAAGCAAAACTTTTGATCGATTGTTCGGGGCTTGCTGTTCGTGCTCAATCTTCTTTCCACACACAATCTCATAATTCACAGCTACCCCAGTGGCCAGTTTTTTTCCAGTCATTAAAGTCAATTCCCTCTTCGTTTTTTATCCTATTCAAGCTGGTCTTCCTCATGATAGCGTTCAGGCTCTTTCACTCAAGTCACCACCCTGACTTTGGCAGTCGCCTGCCTGATCACCTCGAGTAACTCTATTCCTGTCGTTTTTACTTCACTGCCCAGGTGTGCAAAGAAAAAAGAAAATTTAACACTGGAATATCCACCAACATAAAAAGTTTTGCTAAAATTTATAGATTTTTATCATAATCATTTCTTCCTTTGGAATCAACGGCGTATTTAGACTAAAGGGAAAATTCTTTAGTTCTATTGTCAAAGAAATGGAAATTACCAGATCCACTATTGCAAAATGAAGGCCTTTGGCGCTAAATTTATGTTTTTTTAAACATCTTGCCGGCTACCTGTATTACTCATTTTCACAATAATATTGCAAACTTTTGGTTCACGATGGTGACTTTCCATGGTTAAACTGGATTCAAATGGAGAAAAGACGAGAAATATTGTTTGTTTACAAAACTATTAATATTCATGTTTACTTTTTTTAATTAAATCCGTTATGAAAAATGAGGATTAACAATTTTTTTGTTTTTTGTTTGTATTTTCTATTCTGCTTTATCCAATGAACAAGAATATATCGATTAATTTAATTAAAATTAATAGAATAAGAATAATTGACAGGGGCGTCGGTGGCCGCAAAGGTTTAGGCGTTGACACGGCGCCCATCTTGTAAGGTAAAGGTTCCGGGTTCGAATTCAGCGGCCCATTTGAAACTTGTTTCAATTTACTAATAATTTTTGTCATCCGGCCCGGAGGACCCAAACTAGGAAATAGTACTGTAATAATTTGAGGTTATGGCGTTGACATGGCTTTCATCATTTAAAGAGGGGGGGGGGTTCAAATCCAGGGGCTCTGCTTTCGAACCCAACGTACTTACAAATGGGCTTTTTTTTCAAAAAAAAAAAAAAACCGGCACCCTGAGGGTTTGTATGGCCTCTGCTGTCGCGAACCCTCCTAAAAAAAACCATTCATTTTTGTGCAGTTTAGTTCAACTTGTATGGTGATCTTAATTTAAATCCTTTTTAAAAAGATAGTTCCCACTCACAGTAAGTTGTTTTGCAACGATCCGGATTTCGAGCCTTTTAGCCCATCATCAGGTTGAAGGACTTCTACAACCACGTCTCAATCAATCTCAACAAATTTTAATTGTTATTATTTTTATAGTAATTTAATAATATTCAGTATTTACTATTATAATATTTATTTGTGTTATAATTTCCGCGTTTCGCACGTTCAAATTGAGCGCCATTAAAAAAAATTAGCTGCTACTTGGAACGTCGCGTTGGCGGAGGTATCAGCGGGTTCACTTTGGAATTCATGTCGAGAGACGTGGTTATAGAAGTCCTTCAACCTGATGATGAGCTAAAAGGCTCGAAATCCGGTCGTTGCAAAACAACTTACTGTGAGTAGGAACTATCTTTTTAAAAAGGATTGAATACAACACTCACTCCATCAATTATCATTTCTCTTAATTTAAATTGTCTTCTGGCCCGGAGGAATGGCTTTCCTCTCGGAAGTGTCTCTATTGAAAATTCGCCCTCCTCTGAGTTTTCGTCGCGTTTTCCCTATAAATGGGAGCGGAAATGTATTTTTCCCCCGGTCCCGCCTCCAGGGCAGATAAACGCGATGAAAAACGGCCCGGGCCGAAGGAGGAGTCGTGTGCGGTGATCTCTCTATCAAAAGGCCCCCCGCTCGAGGGACGTCGCGTCTGGAGTAGAGGGAGATGATCCCCGAGGAGGGCTTCCTCCGGGAGAGATCAGCCGATCAGTCCCAAATCGGACCCGACACAATGTACAGTGCTGTTCTGTTCGTTCTCCTCGCCGTCAACACGCGTCACCTCCAAGTCATCGCCCAAGGTAAGCACACGAGCGATGCCGCCTCCGGCAACTAACGCTTTTTTTTCAACACCGCTAACCAAGCCAATCTCCATATCACTATCTTTCATTCTAAATCGCAAAAAAATCCCTACTCTTAATAAATCTAAAACCTTCAGTTATCTGACGGACCTTTTCTACATTGATGAATTATTATAAATATAAAGAGACCAAAAAAACAAACCTTGAAATAGCTAAGCCCTATCTGCCAAAGAGGAAAAATGAAATAACCGACACCGACAAACATTTGAATCATATTCTGTTTTAAAATTTATATCCTTAACATACAATTTTAGCACTTCGAACTTACTAAAGTTTCAACATGGCTATAGAAATCCCTTGATACACAAAACTGAAGTCTTTTATTTCTCATAGTAAAGAAAAATGGCTAGTTTACGTAAAGTTTAATAGCATAAATAACTAAGTTAAATAATTAGGATTTACCAAAGTTTCAACAAGGATGTCGCAAATTCGCTACGCAGAAATTTTATCATTGTCAAAAAATTAAAAAAAAATACCATGTTGTGATTTTATTGTTTTGTTATATCAAAATTCAAATTGACGGGCTTTTACCGATCAAGTTTTAGTATACTTTCAGCTTGTTAAACATACGTTAATTTCACGAACCTACTAGAAAATTTATTTTATTACTTCTGATAGAGAAACATTTATTAATTTAGAAAAAATATTTATTTAGCATTTATTTGTATATAAATAATGACTTTTTAGCTTTCTTTCTTTCAATCCGAAATCTAAATATACAATCTTTAGAATTGAACTTTTAGAACGGAATTTTTAAAATCTAACTGCAAATAAAATGTGATTGACTCGGTTCACCTACTGAACCTTTTGTGCCATATAATTATGCAAAAATTAAATGACTTATACGATCAATTTTCTTTCATTCGACTTGTGGCAATGGTTTCAAAAATTAAGCTTTTTGACTGATTGTAATTGGTTATTTTAATGTTATGAAAAAAAAGCTTGAAAATATATTTTTTGTTTTTACGTGGTAAAATACAGTAGCACTAATTTAAGTTGTGTATTTGGAACTTAATTTGTCTATTTCTAATCCGTTCGACTTCGCAATACGGGTCTTCTAGTCTATCTAAGAATACAAGAAATGGTTATATTAAGAAAGTTTTTTTTTTAATGAAGTAGGATTCAGTTTTAAGTTTAAAGTTTATTAACTTCCACTAGCTGTGGCTAATTTGTAAAAATATACGGAATACGTCTTTTATTTCTAATGTTCAAAAATCTATGGAAAACAGAAGACACATGCAATGCTTGTGGAAAAGAAGCATTGATGTACAAATCAACCATTGTATAAAATGTCCTTACTATTTTATTTTTATTTTTGGTAAATAGATCAAAAGTTCATCAAAGTCAATAAAAAGACACACCAATTAAACAGACTTGCTTTGAATTTATTTTTTGACAACTTATAAATCAAAACTTATCGTACTTTTGCACAGATTCTACATGATTATTTTTATGTTTATGTATGCGTATTATTCTTTTTTACGTGAGACAGTAAAGTACAGTAGCAATGATTTATGTTTGGCATTTCGAACTTACGAAACATTCAACATGCCTATCATAAAAAATTAAAAATTCAGGAAATCAGCTATGTTATATCTTATGGTAATAAAAAAAATGATAATTTTTAGTAGTTTGAACTCATAAATTAAACATTTGGTATTTACCAAGCTTTCACTACCTATGGCTATTTTTTTAGCATGTTATAATTCCAAACTGATTGTATTTGCATTGATGGTTCTTGTTTATTTTAATGATAAGAAAAACACTTGAAAGTTTATTTTCGGTTTTTACGCGAGATAGTAAAATACCATGAGGCTTAAATATTTTATGTGTAATACTCTAAAATCGATAAAACAAAAAGCAGAAGAAGCAAATATTCACTTTGTGGAAGGAAGCATTTGTGAACAAATCAACCAGTTCATAAAATTCGCGTACGACTTTTATTTATCATTTAACGAATGGTTGATCAATTCATCAATCGTTTTTCTTATTTTCACGTGAGATAGCAAAATATAATCAATTTATGGATGGTTAGGGAAGCACTAATTTAATTTGGCTATTGGGACTTCCCAATTAACGGCGCGATTATCACAAATCGTTTGTTCAAATTGTCAACAAAAGTATTTTATTTCTCATAGTAATAAAAAACATTACTGCTTTGATTAAGAACATTTTATGAGTAAAAAATTTGAGATTTATCATAATATCAACACGGCTATGACAAATTTCTTTTAAAAAAATTGCAGCCCAATTTTATTCTGTTTATTGAATTTATGTTGGCTGCATAAAAATACAAACTGTCCCTTCTTTTATTTATCGGGTTTTAGTTGTATATTATGTGCAGAATCTGCTAGAAAATGTATTTATCAAGTTTTTGGTAGTAAAATTTAATTAAAACTAATTTAGAAAAATAAGCAGCTTAGGTCTTTTCTTTCTGATAGTCAAAAATCAGCAAGAAAACAGACAAAAAACCTGCCCAACTTGAGGAAGAAAATATTGATGAATAAATCAACCATTTTATTAAATTTTATTTCTCATTCCAACAAACGGTTGATTAGATCATCAATGCTTCCTTCCACAATTTGAACATAAAACGCACAACCGAACAAAGTAGCCAACAAGTAAAAAATAAACTTTTAAGTTTATTTTTTGGTAAATTATAAATCCAAAGTGTTCGTATGTTCGAGTTTATTTTTCAGAAAAACGGTGGAAAGTGTATTTTTACCCGAGAGAGTAAAATATAGTGGCACTAATTTTCATAAGCATTTAAAATTTACCATAGATTCAACGGGCCTATCTCAAATCCGTTAAAATTTGCAACGCAGGTCTTTTATATATCCAGGTGATAAAAAATAGCTGATTTAAAAGAATAAATACATATATAATTCACATAAAATATATCAAATATTCATTAGCTATAGATTATCTGTAAAAATGTGGGCTGAGGTCTTTGATTTCTTGTAGTCGAAAATCGATAAATTAAATTAAACACATTATTTTTTGTGCCACAGAACTTGTAGAAAAAACATTGATGAAAAATCAACCATTGTTTAAAATTAGTGTAGACTTTTATTAGTCATTCCAGTAATTAATGTAATAGTTTTGATTTTTTCTGAGTTTTACAGTTAGTAAAATGTAATAGCATTAAATGAAATGGGGGATCTAGAACCATCAAAGTTTAGACCTGGTTATCTCAAATTTTAACAATTTTTTTTTCTCATAGTAATAAAAACATTTTATTTAAGAAAATTTAGTAGGATTGATTTATAAGTTAAACATTTGTAATTAACCGCAGCAGCAACAACATTATCTAAAATGTACAACGACAGTTTCTAAAATGCAAATCTTTAAAAATGTGCCCTACGTCTATTCTTTCTTCGTTGGCTATTTTAAAATGCAAACTGGTCTATTTTGCTTATCATGTTTTAGTTCTAAATTAATTGATCCAATTCAACTGACTGTTTATGTACGGTTTTTTGGGTAAAATTTGGAAGTATTAATTTTTAAATTGAACACTTGGAATCTACTAAACTTTCACTAGCTATCTATCCGCAAAAATTGTAAAAATATAACCCTAAGATTCTTCATTTACAATAGCCAAAAATTTACAAATGAAACATAGTAATAATAATAATGCTTTATTAGTACAAAAAATGTTTACAAAACAGAACATATGCCTTAACATAAAATAACGGCATGGATAAAATCCGTCTGCCAGTATTCATATGAAATATATGAAAAAATAATGAAACATAGTATTATAGACAGAAAGTTTATTTTTAGTATATTATTAAATAGTTAAATTATGTGAAGATTGTACTTGTTATGGTGATGTTAAGATTTGACTTTTTGTTTTATTTGTGATAGTAAACTCCTAGCATTAATTTATTTTGAGCATTTGGAAATTTAGTTATCTGTTTATATTTTTAAATTAGCCTGTTATTAATAAGAGTAAAATTTAACAGTAATAATAATTTATAGCCAATATAACAATCGACAAATATGTTAAAAACGCAAATATTCACTTTTGTATCATGCTAAAGACTTTAGGGATTTCACTGCAATAAAATCCAAACAGATCACACTTTCCTTTATAAAGTTTTAGGTTAGATTATGTTTACCAGAAATATATTTATGTTAACGTTAAGAAGTCGAAACAAATTTTTCTCTATCTTTCATGTAATAAAAAACTCCTTTGAATAATTGTTGCGTATATATTACACAAATTAAATATAAGGAAATTTAACGTGGTGGGTATAGTAAATGTAGAAAAAAGCAAGGATATTTTATTTCCAATAGACAAAAATCGATTAATAAAAATTATTTCAAGCGGAATAGGCATTTTTATCGAGTTTTAGTCGCCTTGTTTTAATAATGAAAAACAAGGTTATGTCAATTCTACGAAATATGCTAGAAAGATTATTTTATATATTAACGTATAAATTAAGCATTTTAAACAAAAGTTTTGATGGCTATCGCAAATCGGTTTACATTCCCAGTCTCTTATTATTCATAGCAATAAAAGAAACTACTATTTTTACGATGGGTATTAAAGCAACTGATTTACTTCAAACACCTTTGCAATAGCTGAATCTTATTATTTAAAGATGGAGAAGCAATAAAATTAACGACGATCAAACGTGTTCCTACTTTTTATTTAAGACAGAAAAGTTTTGTCTTTTTAAAAAGATTGATCAGCAAACTCACTCCACCATTTATAATTTCTAGCAAAGTTTAGTTTCATCTCATTTTAAGTTAGACATTTGAACTTTTATATATATTTTTGTCGATTTTTTTGTAAAAAATGTGAATTTGAATGAACAAAGTTAAAAATGAGAATGATTTGAGTTAAATATTTTTTATTCGAAATCAAAATTAAAACAGTTCTGATTAACAAATTCCCTTTATCTTACTTATGTTAATCATGGATTCGTTGTTAA